AGAAATTATGAAGATCCTTGAATGAGTCAAAGCAAAAATTTGCGGAAAAATGGGATGGTTATAGAAGATATCTTCAAAAATACAATAATAGTTTTGACTCCGTGCTAGCATTAGAGTGATAAAGGAACTAAAAGGAGGTGGATAACAATTAAGGATTTATTATGTTTTCAGAATGTATTAGAAAAATTATATAGAAAGGTTTATTGTTTTGTGTACATTCAAATGTAAGATAAAATATATGCAAAGGGACTTGACAGGAAGTCAAAGTTGAAGAAAATATTTTGGGAGATAAAAGGGGGAAAATATTTACTTTCATTATTATCATTTTGGGTGTGGGTGTGGGTGTCTGCACATATGTGTGTTGCATGCAATGTTTGGGAGGAAATAAGACGATAAATAAGGGGCGCGGGTGGCGCTGTGGGTAAAAGCCTCAGCGCCTAGGGCTTGCCAATCGAAAGGTCGCGGTTCGAATCCCCGCGGCGGGGTGCGCTCCCGTCGTTCGGTCCCAGTGCCTGCCAACCTAGCAGTTCAAAAGCACCCCCGGGTGCAAGTAGATAAATAGGGACCGCTTACCGGCGGGAAGGTAAACGGCGTTTCCGTGTGCTGCGCTGGCTCACCAGATGCAGCTTTGTCACGCTGGCCACGTGACCCGGAAGTGTCTCCGGACAGCGCTGGCCCCTGGCCTCTTAAGTGAGATGGGCACACAACCCCAGAGTCTGTCAAGACTGGCCCGTACGGGCAGGGGTACCTTTACCTTTACCTTTAAGACGATGAATAACAAATAACAAACTAAATATCGATGTATGTAATTTTTATTTCTTAATTATATTTAGTGGTAGTATGGCTGCATTGTTTTTTGTAACATAAAATCATTTAATAAAAATTATTTATTTTTTTAAAAAAAGAATGAGTCATGCTTTTCCAGGGCTTATCAAGCTGTTTCGGTATGGGGAAAAGTCATATGTTGGGGAGGGCCCATAACTCAATAGTAGAGCATCTACTTTGTATGCAGAAGGGACCAAGCTCAATCCCTAGCATCTCTAAGTAGGGCTGTATGAAACGGGAGAATCATTGCCAACCCATGAAAAAAGTGCTGAGCTAGATGGACCAATGGCTCAGCATAAGGCAGCTTCCTATGTTCCTTCCTATCTATAAGATGAACAAGATTCTGCCCTTCAATGCATCCACAGAGCATTGTGGATTGTCTGGTGAGCAGGTGATGTAGAGAAAGAATTCCTCTCCTAATTCAGTTTATTTGAACAGTATGTGCATCTTTGTATTATTATCCACTACCCCCCACTGTGTTTTATTTTTCACAAGCCAATGCATTGCAGAGTGATTAGTTATATGTCTTTTTTTTTTATTTATATGTAGTGCTGGCATACATGTTTGAATAGATTTCTGCATACCCCCCAAACCTTTGTTTATTAGTTCCTCATGGATCAGCAATGAAGCATGCACCATGTCCTGGGTACGGAATGCACCTTAGCCGGCTAGTCCAGGGAATGAGATCATCCCTTTGGACATCAAAACTGTCAAGCATACCTCCTAATCTGAAACAATACTGCGGAATGGAGAGAAGGGAGAGTGTGAGGCAGAAAACATGTGAAGGGCACCACATGCGTGGAGACATGCTTTGTTTAGCTCTCTTTAAAACTCCTTTAATTGATTTGATTAGCATTGTCCCTCTGGTTTGTTTGTTTTTTTAACTTCAGTTTAAATCTATCGATACATTTATTGATTTAATTTCCATGAACTTTCACATGAGGGAAACCAATAATTCTGAAGGAAAAAAGCACACCTCCTTGAAAAATAATAATGTATCTTGTTCCAAGCACTAACTTAAATGCGGTGTTGCCTCCTGTGTCAGAGAAGGGGCAGTGCTTCATCTAAGGTGGTGCCCACCAGTTTTGTTTTGTTTTAAGAGGGTCAAATGAAGAGCCCCACTGCAAAGACTACAGGATTTTGTTCTCACAATGGCTAACCAAATGCCTGTAGAAAGCCCCAAAGCAGGACTCAATCGTCTTCTGTTAATGATTTCCAACAACTGGTATTCAGACACATACTGTCATTACTTCATTTTATGGCAGTGATAGTTTAACTGTGTGAAGAGTTACTAACCTTTTGTCCTGAATCTTACAGCAGTCACCCTGGTTCTGGTATTATGAGAGAGACAGAAAAACTAATATCTACCCCCTTTTTTCTAAATCATGCATAATTTATATACCTCTACCATGTTCCTCACTGTTGTTGTTGTTTAGTCGTTTAGTCGTGTCCGACTCTTCGTGACCCCATGGACCAGAGCACGCCAGGCACTCCTGTCTTCCACTGTCTCCCGCAGTTTGGTCAGACTCATGTTTGTAGCTTCGAGAACACTGTCCAACCATCTTGTTCTCTGTCGTCCCCTTCTCCTTGTGCCCTCCATCTTTCCCAACATCAGGGTCTTTTCCAGGGAGTCTTCTCTTCTCATGAGGTGGCCAAAGTATTGCAGCCTCAGCTTCACGATCTGTCCTTCCAGTGAGCACTCAGAGCTGATTTCCTTAAGAATGGATAGGTTTGATCTTCTTGCAGTCCATGGGACTCTCAAGAGTCTCCTCCAGCACCATAATTCAAAAGCATCAATTCTTCGGCGATCAGCCTTCTTTATGGTCCAGCTCTCACTTCCATACATCACTACTGGGAAAACCATGGCTTTAACTATACGGACCTTTGTTGGCAAGGTGATGTCTCTGCTTTTTAAGATGCTGGTCCCTCACTAATTGCCCTTTTTTAAAACTAAAAAGCCCTAAATGTTGTAATTAGGGCCAACATATTGGTATGGTGGTTGTTTTGTGGATTGGGGAACAGAGGGGGCGGGGCTTATTTGGGTCTCTAGAAAATGTCAGTAAAGTTGAAGATGGGATAAGGCAAGGGATATGTGTGATAAAATGCACTGTTAATCTTCTTTCATGGTCTTTTAAAAATTCATTTCACAGTTGAAATAATAGAATAATTTTTAAGCAACATATTTAAGCTCCTATCTCCCTGCCATTTCCGATTTCCTGCCATTGAGACATCTGTTGTCTCCTGGTGTTTGGTGCTAAAAGAGGCAAAATGTCTGGCTCTTAACTGCCATTGAACTCTCCTGGGGACCTCCTCAGTTTCCTCCACAGTACATATTGCCGCTTCCTGATTTACTTCCCTCTATTTTATACAACATGCAGAGATTGCAGAAGGGGTATAGTGTTTCTGTTTTAAATAGAAACCTTCCCACCCACCCCCAGTTGCCCTGTAAAAGGGAGGTTGCTCTACCCCAAAATAGTTGTCTTGCACTAAAGCATATATGTGAGCAGCTCAGAGGGTCACACAAATAGTCCTGCCAGCAGTTGTCAAGGCAGGTGCTGCAGCAGCCTGGTACCACAAGTGTTTCCCCCCAGAAATAAGGAAAGAGTAATTTATGTGCCTGCACTCTTTCTAACCACTGTGCCCCCTGAACCTGCCTCCACTGCTCACTCAGCCTACCTGTTGACATAAGTGGGAGTCCTGGGTGTGTACAGGAATGCCAAGGGCAATGATATATTTCCTTTGCTTGCATGCTAAGTTTAACTGTTTCCTGGCCACATCCACATCTGGATTGCAATTTTCACGATGTGAGAATTAATAGAGGTGCATAAATAAGAACTTTGGAAAAGTTGATTTTTCTCATGAGTCAGCCTTTGTCTCATATATGTTGTGTTAGTTATCCCTTCTCATTTGGTGACATGGTGGAAAGTCTTCAGTACCTATATAATGGAGAAACCTCATTTAATTTTACACGTTTATGAGCCTTTTCTTTTTGAAAGTTCAGGGGTTTGAGGTGAAAGAATGAATATGAGTGTGTTTGTTTGTGGGGGATCCTTTAAATAGGAGTGAGAATTAACAAAATTTGAAAATCTAATAGTCTGAAAAAAGAAGTTTTGAGGAAAACTATGTCATATTATTATGCTTTTGGATATAACCAGAAAAAAAACATATCAAAGTGACTGGGAAAGAGAGCCAAGACAAAACACTTAAGAAGCATGGAAATGGATTTTAAATGTGTACCTCAACAGACTTTGTGTACATCTGGTAGGTAACCCAGGCATGACTTTGTCATATACAGTGGTGCCTTGGTTTACAAATGCATCAGGTTACAAACACTTCGGGTTACAAACTCCGCTAACCCAGAAGTAGTACCTCAGGTTGAGAACTTTGCCCCAGGATGAGAATGGAAATTGCGTGCCAGCGGCACGGCAGCAGCGGGAGGCTCCATTAGCGAAAGTGCGCCTCAGTTTAGGAACAGTTTCGGGTTAAGAACGGACCTCTGGAACGAATTAAGTTCATAACCCGAGGTACCACTGTATACAGTAGAGCAGTCAACATTTTTTGGAGGTGCAGCTCAGAAAATACTAGCATGCTTCATCTTTTCTGGTCATGTTTTAAAATAAAAATAATTGGAAAATCAGAAAAAAAAATGAAATAGAAGTTATAACAGGATATGATTAACTGGAAGATGCATTGATCATATTGTTTGGCCATGTTAAATTCTTGGTCTTATCATTTGCTAGTAATATACTAAGGCGTAAACAGTACACAAATCCAGAATGGAGTCCCTAAAACTGTTGGATGGCGTCTTGTACACCCCTTTCCAGCATGTCTTTGTTTGAATCTGGCCTTTCCCAGCCTCTCTTTTCCTTGATGCCCAGGTCATTCCTCTTTTACGGGATGCATGCACTGGTCTGTCTGATATGACATGGAAAGTACATGCAGCTGTCTTAACTCCCTGCAAGACATGGTAAATGATTGCCAGTTGTTGTTTTTAATTCTTGTATAAGCAGCTGTCAATAATAAGCACGTCCGATATAACATGAATACATCTTCTCTCTCCTTTTTTGGTTTTTCACTCTAGTGTTATCTTGGAAAATGCATTGGACTTAAAATATGACATTTCATTTTCCTTCAGTTACAAGAATGTAATATCAGTGTTTCTGTCTTTATTCTAGGCTCTAGAAATGGAGAGCCTGGCTATGTGACTGCAGCACTAGGGAATACTTGGAGTCATAGTGTGAATACAAGACTCATCTTGCAGTATCTGGATTCACAGACAAGACAGGTGAGGCACCAGGGGAAGCAATGTTACTCCCACAGTAATGTATAGGACAGACACATTCTGCTCAGAGAAGGTACTCTAAGTTGTAGTTGTCGTGTTTTAGTTAGATACAACTGAGAGTCCTATAATAAGAAGGAAGGAGGGGCAAAAACATTTTATTTCTTTGCTTCACCTTCCTCCTCTCTACAGGGAATCTATACAGGGGTTGACTTCAGAAAAAAGCTTCCTCTGACCTTAGTTCTGCTATGATCCTGTCATTGAACTCCCCTTCTTCAGGGATGAGGTCAAGGACTCAAAGCCAGAGGATGAAATTCCACAAGACAAGCCTGTGGTGCTGGTGCCCTTCTGGCCCAATGATATCACATAGAAACCACAGTACAACCACAATCTACCTCTCTCCTTTGGAGTAAAAGGAGTGGGCCAGGCCCCTTTAACTGAAGATGCGTCTTTCATTGAAGGCAGAGCTTGCAGCTGGAACAGAACTGGTCTGCCTATGTAGTGTATAATCTGCAGTCTAAGGTCGACTGTTGGTAACATCTCTTATCTCCTCATCTATAGTACTCAGACTGAGCCAGGCACAAGGCAGATTTGCCTTGCCTTGCCACTGTGGCAGTTAAGGCAACTGATGTCAAAGACATAAGAACATTAGAGTAGCCTGCTGGATCAGGTCAGTGGCCCAGCTAGTACAGCACCCTGTTCTCAGCCAGCTGCCTGTGGGAAACCAGGGAGCAGAATGTGAGCACAAGAGCGTTCTTCTCTGCTGTGGTTTCCAGCTACGGTATACAGAGCCAGTGTGGTGTAGTGGTTAAGAGCGGTGGACTCGTAATCTGGTGAACTGGGTTCGCGTCCCTGCTCCTCCACATGCAGCTGCTGGGTGACCTTGGGCTAGTCACACTTCTCTGATGTCTCTCAGCCTCACTCATCTCATAGAGTGTTTGTTGTGGGGGAGGAAGGGAAAGGAGAATGTTAGCCACTTTGAGACTCCTTCAGGGTAGTGATAAAGTGGGATATCAAATCCAAACTCTTCTTCTGCTTCTTCTATTTTGAAGCACTGCTGCCCTCCAACTGCGGAGGCAGAGCTTGGTCATCATGTCTAGTAGCCACTGATGTCAGTTGAGTGTCTCAGAAAATTCCCCATCACCCTGCAATTGTTTTGATGATGGGGGGGGGATCAGCCTGCCATTGTTCTCCTATGGTTATTCCTTTTCCCCTGGGCTGGTGCACATGCACTTCTGCTGTCAGGGACTCCAGATGGCTCATTGCCACCATCCAAGCGTTTTGAGGTGGGGAGATATAGAGGTCATTCTAACCTCTCACTATTTTTTCATTAGTCTTGATCATTGGTAGATATTCTATCTTACCTAGCCATGCTTCCTGGTGTGGCCCACACAGAGCCAACACATGGATGTCTTCTTTACTAAAGAGGTAGTTGCATGTATGCCATGGGTAGGAATGTAATACGTGCATCTATATCTGGGAAAGGATCTTCAAACATGTCTGGAAACACATCTGCTAGTTTTTAGAAATAGCTGCGTGTGTTATGTTGCTATTGCAAGATTCTCATGCATCTTAAGACATAAGTATATGGGGTAAACTTGTTTCTCCAGTACTTTCCCATGGCCAGTAGAACTCTCTGCAGCTTGAGAAAACCAATTGAATTACCTATGCTCTTGGATTTGGTTTTCAAAAGTGTTTCTGGAGTTTATTTTAGTGCCTTATTAGTTTAGAAGGTTAAATTTTGGGCTTGTTACAGCATGTGTAGGCATAGACTACTGTGATTTGAGCACTTTCCTATTGTTTGTGTACTTCTATGTCAAACATCCGTTTTACATTTTAAGAAGTAAATGTTTATATTTCTGTAGGTATTTGTGAATAGGGTTTTATCATCTCCATCTGCAAATGCTGCTTTCTCTTTCCTCTCATAGTAAACAACTCCCAGGAATTAAAACAGACCAAACACCCACTATTTTAATTGACAGATCACACGTTTTTCAAGTGAAATGTTTAAAAACATTTTACTCTGGGGGTGGTTGTTGAGGGGTGTTTTTGTTTTTTTTCAAACAGTGAGAAAAGGTGCAAGAACACACTTTTCAGCAAACACCTGATTTCATTTTCATCTTTTTTCATGTGCGTGGTTGAGCTCTCTGTCACTGAATGCATTTTTTCAAATGGCTTACAATCTCAACTCTGTTTAAACTCTGCCCAAGCTCTGTTAATGCATGGTCAATTTTTTTGTGACCCCTTTTGTGACGAATGCTCACTACCAAACTTGCACAATATACTTTACTATTTTGTGATTTAGACCCTTGCTTATAGAAGATTCAGGGGAGCCTTCATCCTCATGTGTTTTTGTTCCACATCTAGTGGTTCCTTTTATAGAATGGCTGCTTACTACCTGAGATCCTGTGGAAGGTTAGCATAGGCAAAACAGAGAGCTGGATTAGGTAAATGTGTGAACTGACCAGCAAAGGCTATTTTGGTGTTCATATGTACTCTATGGGGAAAAGCTGGGAAAAGACAAATCTGATACATATACAAAATTGTGGGTGCATGGAGGTTAATAATCCTTTGTTTTCATTTGTTGCTTTTGGAATTTATTCTAAAATAATTTTTTTGAGATTAGAGCAAAATGTTTAGTTGTCAGCAAATGTTACAGGAGCTGTCTGATTAGCAGTCTTCTGCCCTCGGTACAATATTGAGATGTGTTGTAAGCCCAAGCATAAGATTTCCCTAGCCTCCTAATGCCAGACATCACTTCCCCCGTGTTCTTTGTTAGAGACCAGCTGGTTTTACCCTACTCTGATTAGTGCGATATAAATAGCACCCCACCATTCTGACTGTCACACAAACACCAACTTGACTGGTGGTAGCAGGGGATGGCTTATGTTAAAACCTAAAAATGAAGCTACAGTAGTTTTTCAGCAAAGCCTAACTCTGAATATCTTAAAGGTTATACACTGAAAAATTACGTTTTTACGCCTAATGATTCTTCAGCTCTTCTTATATATTTATTCAACTGCAGGAGAGACACATTCTTTACTCTAGAAGGGCTTACAGATGTTTTGACATTTTTCAAAAAAGAAGAAGCCCCCCAACGTCCCAAATATTAGCGTTGCCATGTGTTAATAATAGTGTTTGATAGTGTTGCAGTGTTACAAATCAAAATAGCTAGGAATGAGAGGGGAGATAGTAGCATTCATTCTAATGTTTTTAAAGAAGTAATGTATTAACTATTTTACTTAAAAGTGCAGGGGGAGGGTAAATAACAACTTTAAAACCCAAGTTCTTTAATGATGACACTATTATATATATGAATATTTAGATACTGCTTTTCAGCCTTATATGAGTGTGGGTAATGGAGGGGTAGAGAATATTTTTGATGAGATTCAAAGAGGTTCTGGAGCCACAGCTGATAAGACATACCTGATGAGTTTGCTGTAATGTAGGGTTGACATATGTCCGGAATTTCCTGGGCATAGCCAGTATTCAGCCCTTGTAAACTGTGTCTGGGTGGAAATCACTTAAATGTCTGGGAAAATCCGGATGTATGGCAGCCCATGTCAGAAGTGTAGATTTTTTTTTAGTTGGTCAAAACTAAAAAAAAAAAGGTAATCAATTTATGTGTCTGGATTTTCTCTTTTTTAAATATGGCAACCCTATGCAATGTGTTCCTTTAAAGGGACGCGGGTGGTGCTGTGGTCTAAACCACTGAGCCTCTTGGGCTTGCCGCTCAGAAGGTCGGTGGTTCGAATCCCCACGATGGGGTGCTCGGTCCCTGCTCCTGCCAACCTAGCAGTTCAAAAGCACATCAAAGTGCAAGTAGATAAATAGGTACCGCTCCGGTGGGAAGGTAAACGGCGTTTCCGTGCGCTGCTCTGGTTCGCCAGAAGTGGCTTAGTCATGCTGGCCACATGACCCAGAAGCTGTACGCCGGCTCCCTCGGCCAATAAAGCGAGATGAGCGCCGCAACCCCAGAGTTGGCCACGACTGGACCTAATGATCAGGGGTCCCTTTACCCTTTACTTAAGAGGTAACAATATTTAAAAGAGCTATTTTATGTCTGTGTGAAAATACAAAATATTATCTCTGCCCTGGAAACCTAAGCAGTATGATTTGTTGCAAAAGACTGACCTAATTCTAGTCCAGATTTGAACACGCTGATTGAACAAGTGGCTTAGCTATTGTGCCCCTTCCCAACATCCACAAGGAGACTGTTTGATTATTTTCCAGTTTGAAATTGTTGGGAGTAACAAATTACAAATATGATAGCCCTTGTGAGCTTCTTATTTCTGTGAGGAACTGGGCTTCACATGGTCCTAAGGCTTTCTCTCTGTCTGTCTGCCAGCCATGGGAGTCTGACACGGCACATAGTGGCTAGTTAAGGCAGCTAGCCGTGTGGAGGCCCCAGCAGGTCTCTCCCTTCCCCTTTAAGAAAGGCTCACTATCTCAACATTTGAGAAGCACTGGCCTCAGAAATTATTACATGGAAGAAAGGAAGAAGCTAGGAGACTGACCTAAAGTGCTCAACCATTGCTGCAAATCCATCTGCACGGTATGTTGATTTACGCTGCTGTTGTTTATCAGGACTCAGACCTCCTAATGGACATGTGTGGGATGTATATGTAAAGCAAACACTGTCAGGGCACTGCAGGCTAGTTGGATTTATGTCCCACTTCTCTTCAGAAGGGCTTTTATGGAGGAGCAAATGTTTACATTATTTTAGACTTGTCTTTGACTTTAATCCATTACGCACTCAGATATCAGTGGACAGTTCTGTCTAAGAACTGGATTGGAAACGACACTAAATAAAATGGAAACTTAATACAGTGGCATTAGGGTTTTATTCACTTTTTTCAGTTTCCCCACAGAAATCTCTGTGTTAACATAACATGCAGTTTATATTGGTTTGGGACTTGAGTGTTTTGTCCCCAACAGAGTAACCAAAGGTTTTCTATAACTATCCCAGTCTGATACCTGCTAAAAAGAGATATTCTAGACTGCCA